CGTTTCACAGGTCTCACTCATTTGCTTGCAGACTGTTGGTTCATTCCCTCTCAGGGAGATGTACTCCGCCCTCGAAGTAAGCTCCCAATTAGTCACTCTTTCGACATGCTTTTGGGAAGGCAGTGAGTCTATTCTTGTTTTCCCCACAAATGGGTCCCAGAACCCACACGGGGAAGTTGGGTGTTTCAAAACGAAAGACAAGTAGACAGACAAACAGACAGCGAAGCTTCCGACAAAAGTCTTTATCAACTGACACAGTATTTTTTTAAGGATTCCACTTCTTGTTTTCAATCAAACTGGTGCATTCTCCACAAAGAAGTTGCCGAAATGGGTCTGCAATACACGCAGCCTCTTGTCTTGATATTACATTATCTCAAACAACTATTATTCTATTTGTTAATTTTGTCCCCCCCCCCTTTTTTCCCCTCCCCCCCCCCCCCCCCCCTCCCCACCCTCGCACCAACATCAACGATTTTTCTTACTTCTTTTCACAATATAGTACTTCACGTCCATATTTTTTTCTCATCATTACATATTTCTTGGTTTCATGTCGACTTTAGTTTTTTAGAAGCCCTATCGTCTTGTGTGTTGTGTGTAAATTCTCAGACATAATTTGAGTTGTTTTTAACACTCAGCAGATAAAGAATTTGGCCGAAACGTTTGGTGGTTTTTTGTTGAAATTTGTAGTCACATTAAAGGTTTTATTTGGAACTTGATGAAAGATAACAACGAATAAGTCTAATAATTCATAATAGAAATGTTCGTCTTCTTCGCGTTCACCAGTTATAAACTCTGGTTGAAAGTTCTGGCTGTTCGTCCACTTCTGGACTTCAGTCCTGTTCCAGAAGCTGAGTGTCGCGTGTGATTCTGTTTTACAGATCTGACTCATTTGGATGCAGACTGTTGGTTCCTTTCCTTTCAGGCAGATCCCAATTTGTCGGCTCTTGCGACATGCTTGTGGGTAGACACTGGGTCTGTTCTTTGTTCCCCCTGTAATAAGGCCCAGGAATCCACACGGGGAATAATAGAAATGCACACATAATTGGAATAAACAAATATAAACACACACACACACACACACTTCTTCTTCAGCATGTGGAACCCTTGAAGTTTATTGCTGCAGATATCACCCGCCTCCTTTCATCTCTCTGGTTGGCCTTCTCTTTGTAGTTGGTGACACCAAGTGTTTGCAGGTCGGTCTGGACATTATCTCTCTATTGTCTTCCTGGTCTGCCTCGTGGTCTACACACACACGCACACACACACACACACACACACACACACACACAAATAATTATACTTAGCTAGAAATAAAAGCATCATTAAGGAATGAGCAACATGGGATAAAACAAATTAGGACGACACGGGTTGAGATAACTAGGAGCTTATGGTCGACTGGGGAATAGAGAGAAGAAATATTTATGTATATGTAGACACGAGGAGGAGAAGAAATGCTGACATCTTGTCATCTTGAAAGATCTGACACATCAAGGAAGATTGGCTAATAAACAGCATCCTGTCTCGGAAGCTGAAATATTTTGGTCATATCAAGCGCCACGACGGATTGAAATAAAATTATAGCAGAAGGCATGGTACCAGGAAGGAGGGGCAGAGGTCGACCAACACGAAGATGGGCACAGGATATAAGTGACCACTTGAGTATAAAAGTGTATAAGGCAGGAAAGCTGGCGAGAAACCAAGTTTCTTTCAGGCAGACCTGGATGAGAGCGACGTCCTGCAAAAGACCCGCTACATGAGGATGAAGAGACGAGGAGATGAATATAATTTAAGCGTCATGACTGAAGTTACTTCAGGTGCTGAAAGTAATTTCCATAAGAGCTCAGACACTTTTCATAACCATCAAACAACACATCGCTACTGTAGTTCGATCTAAATATGGAGGAATATGCCAAGCAATGATGACGTTTTTAAACAAACGGCCTCTACGAAAATTTTTATGCATTTCACTAATGGATGATTACTATGTATATACATTTTTACCTAACCCGGCTCTCTAGCGTAGTTGGCTAAACCGGATTGCGCGGAGACCGAATGACGAACTCCTTGTGGTCCGGGTTCAATCCCGGGGGTAGGCAGGAAAGCCATATTTTCTCCCAGATTTACGGTATTTACAATGGAATCAAGGCCGAAATGTTGACATATCCATAATACCTGGCCTAAGGGTTAACAACTCATGGCTTCTGGATACTAAAACAAACAACAAACACATTTTTACCTAACTCTGTACACACACACAAACACACACACACACACAAATATATTTTGAAAACAGAAAATGACGATATGTACAGTTCTTTACTGAAAGGAGATTAAATATTAAATGAAAAGTAACTGTCATTCTAATGTTCGCCAACTCAACAAAACATTTATTCAGAATTTTAGTTGGAATGAATAAAACAGTTTCTCGCAAATTTATCTGAGAGAGGGGAAAAGATCCTCAGAATTTAGTTTTGAAAATGCGCTGGGAAATCCATGCTGGAAATCTAAAGGTACCTGGTATGGACTGTCTGATGCTTTTGTTTTTTAAGCGACAACACTCACTCACTCACTTACTCCACTCACTCACTCACTCACTCACTCACTCACTCACTCACTCACTCACTCACTCACTCACTCACTCACTCACACACACACACTCACTAACTCACTCACACGCTCACTTACTCACACGCATACTCACTCACTCACTCACTCACTCACTCACTCACTCACTCACTCACTCACTCACTCACTCACTCACTCACTCACTCACTCACTCACTCACTCACTCACTCACTCACTCACTCACTCACTCACTCACTCACTCACTCACTCACTCACTCACTCACTCACTCACTCACTCACTCACTCACTCACTCACTCACTCACTCACTCACTCACTCACTCACTCACTCACTCACTCACTCACTCACTCACTCACTCACTCACTCACTCACTCACACGCTCACTCACTCACTCACTCACTCACTCACACACACACACACACACTCACGTCCAAACATAACCGCGAGTGTCAGTTTGGTAGCAGTCTTATCTTACACAGTCGGCTCTGTGGCTAAGTCGATGCGAACGCTTCGTAATGCCCCCAGAAAGCAATGGCAAACTACTGGAGGTTATTTTGCCTAAAAAAATCCACACAACAGCCAGGGGTTGGTTCTGCAACGTCCTGTAAAGGATAGGCATTTAACCTTATCTTACACAACCGTGGGTTGTGATGCTGTGACACAACAGTGTGTGCCTGTTGTGCCCACTCTCAACATACTAACTTGGCATGACCGTATTGTTAACATTTATACCAGCCCTCTGCCAGAAGGGCCTTGCGAAGAGATTGCAGCTGAATGAGCAATTTGTTTAGTACAAGATGGATGTTAAAATAACTCATCGGAAGATGATAATGATGATGATAGTGATGGCCATGTTGAAGAGGAGGATGATAAGGATGAGAATAATAAACAAAAGGGCGAACTTTTTTTTAAAGGGTTTAAAATTATGCACAATATGCTGCGGGTGACATTGATAATATGCAATAATAATAATAATAATAATAGTAATATTATTACCCTTATCACGCCTTTGGAGGAACGAACACACAGCATGAGGCATTTAATTTTAGACCAATCGGTGTTCGATATTTGATGTAGGAAATATAACGCCGACCGCCTTCACTTCCCAATGATGACTATAAGAGTTAGATCTGGGAAGCAATATACATTTTTGAAAATAATCTCATTGGAATTCGGATTCGACCCCAAATACTTCAGGTTGGCAAAGAGTGACAAACCATTTCGCTAATGCGACTATTTATTAATGTTTTTCTGAGCCACCACTGTGTAACGGCTGGATCTTGCCTGCGTGTCGGAAAGTCGTAGGTTCGAGTCCTGATTTAAAGGGACTTTCTTCAACAAATTACCTTGGCTCCCAGGTCGACCCAGCCTTAAGTGGGTAGAGGTATAAACATGGGAAGTAAAGGCGGCAGGCGGGATGTTGACTTCATCACCCACCGGGTGTCGATTGGTCTATAAATGTTTGCTTAGCCCTATATGCCTAACATGCATAAAAACTTGGCAAAGAGAGTTTTACTTTTTTCCCTCACCGATAGTAATAATAATAATAATACTTATTATTATTATTATTTTTAATTTTTTAAACATCAGAACTATTGCATGAAGGCCGTAAACTGTTATTGGTCCAATTGTGTTCTTTAAGATGAGGGTATATGAGGTAGAAAAAAGTAAAGTACAGAAGTCCAAATATTTTAGCAGACGGATAACATCAAATCATAGATTTGCGGATAGTATTGTGCTGCTTAGTAAGGAAAAAAAAAAAAAAAACAATGAGGTGCACACACACACACACTAAATATATTTTGTCTTCTTCTTCGTGTTCACCAGCGGTAAACTCCAGCGGAAAGTTGTGGTTGTTCGTCCACTTCCGCCAGAAGTGGTCTTGTCCTAGAAGTTGTTTGCATTCACATTCATTCTACAGAACCGTCTTTTTTTTTTAACGCAGACTGTTGGTTTCTGACTTCTTAGGTAGATGTGCAATGACATCGAAGGAAGCGCCCGCAATTAGTCGACTTTTACGACATTCTTGTTAGGGGGCAGTGGGTCTCTCCCCCCCCCCCCCGGCCACACACAAAATAGGACCCCAGAACCCACCCGGGGTGGGTGGATTGACCTTTTTTTAAACATATACTAAATGAACCCAGTAGAGAATCTCCAAATATGTATGTAAAACAAAATATTACCACAGACAATCTTATAATTCCGGTAAGATATTTGTTATTATTAAATATAATTATATACAAAAGATAATATTATATAACAATAAGATATAAAGGTATCCGAAAAGCTGAAAGAGACAACAATGGAAGGAAAGTCTAGGTGAAAATTTGGCCATTTCTGTGTTGGGATCTTTATAATTAATCATTGTGACATCATTCCGGTGTTAAATAACAGAATGATTATGCAAATAACATTTCAGTTCTCAATGTCTAGTATATCTAAACGTGAAAGAACAGATACATCTCGCTCAACTGAAAGTAAAATTGAAGGCAAACTAACAAGAGGTAGACATGGAAACAAGCAGGGGGAAAAAGTTAACAAGAAATAACAGAGTGTTGAAGAGATGTTGCAGCCAATCTTCATTGGGGTTGGCAACTTCTGGAATGAATGATTGATATCTGGCTAACTCTCACCTATCAATAGTTAAAAATACAAATAACCAAACTCACTGCTAAAAAAACACCTAGTCATCTCCTTGTGAGATGCAATTATTCTTTATTTTGAAGCCCTACTCTGGCTCTTGTCAGGGGCCGCAATATAGCCCGACCATAAATATGGTCTAAAGGCTGAACGCGGTTTCTGAGACCTCTCCATAGGTGATCCTCATCCACATGGTGGCACTTTGTGTCATCGGGTGTTTGTCGCTTGTGTGATGCCCTAGTGGGGTAAAAAATCTACTACTACTACTTACTGCTCAATTGTAGGTCTTAGGGGAGGTAAAGGTAGGGGGGGGGGGGCGCAATGATAGTAGCATCAATGTATTTATGAATTATTTAATATTAACAATCTCTATATTTTATTTCTTGATGTCCATCTGCCTAAAATATGATTAAAAAAAAATACCAATCCAACTGAAGTACAGAGAAATTAACTCACACCTCTTATAGCTTTAACAGCAGTAGAAGGAACAGGAAGAGGTTGAAAGATACTATGCGACAAAAGCACTGAAACAAGGAAAACAGTGTTGGGGTAAGTCCATAACATATTTTGTAGTGGATTGTGAACCTCTAGTGGCTTAAGCCTTGTTTGCTGCATAATAGCAATAATGAAAAAAAATTATTATTATTATTATTATTATTACTTTCATTAGTTATTATATTCGGCTGGTAAATGAATATAACATATTTTAATTATTAGGTAATGCATTAGAAATTCGTGAAACATTACTTCTAAACGTCGTTAATAGGCGCCTAAGACTCTACACATATTTGGGAAAATAGGGAAAGGATGGATGCCGGTTGGGGAGAATGCGAAGACTGCTGAACAACGTGAAAGTTAAAGTGACAGTATCTCGGTAAACTAGCAAATTTCTGTGTGGTGTGTGCTTGTGTATATATCTGTGCTTTGTGCACATAAATAAATAATAAATAAATAAATAAATAAATAAATAAATAAATAAATAAATAAATAAATAAAGTGCTCTGTTATCAAGAATAAACTCTGTCTGAAGTGTCACCAATATGGGACTTGAATTACAACTTTTTTTTAGATTTATGATCTAAGTAATCCTTAAGTCGATGCGAACGCTTAGTAATGCCGGGATGCCAGGTTCGATCCCAGCCGTGGGCCACGCGCCTTGCGTTGGTTTCGACAGTGGTATCAAGAAAGCCGACCGTCCAGGTGGCAATAAGCAAACTACTGGACGAAAATTTGCCTCGAAAAACCGTACAGCAGCCAGAGGCTACTGAGGTTGGTTCTGCAACGTCCTGTAAAGGATACGCAACTAACCTAACCTAAGTAATCCTAACAATCTATACATTCAAGGGGAGTGGATTCTACACTAAATCTTTTCAGATAAATACGAAACACTAGAAACGCCCATGCTTCTGTTGCCCACGTTAAAAGGTTCATTTAACTTGAATGAAAAAAAAAAGAAAAAAAAATCTAAGAATGGGTTCCGAGGGCACAAAATAGACCTGCTGCTTCTCAACAAGCATGTCGTAAAAGGTCACTAGATAAGGATTTGCTGAAATAAGATGTGATAAGTCGAAAGGCACAGACAAATATCACACCCTAGCTGTAAACTAAAACAAAACGTACCAACAGCTCTTTTAACGTCGGTCAGGAGGAGGAGGTGGAGAAAGAAGAAGGACATAATATCTTAGGCTGACCATAACACTACTCGTATTCTGGAAAAATTAACTATATTTTCATTTCTTATCTATAAACATTTTTTTCAATACTCGTACCTCACAGTTTTACCAAGCTCCTAAACTGTTTACTTCGATAAGTTACACGGTGGAAGAGAAGAAGAAGTATACTGTTTATATCAAAACTCCTTGTAGGATCGATCTAGTTGACGATTAGCTATAGTCAAAGATCGAAGCGTGCCACAGCAGCGATTGTTTAGGAAACAAATCAATCTGATAGAGACAGAACAAGGACACACAGGTGAGAACAAAGTAGACACATCGGTAACCTTACCTGGCTTTGTTGGGTTCCTTTTAATGGTCATCCACCTGAACGGTTTTCCTTGAATGCCCTGTTGGCTGTTACAACCCTCAGACTTGAGAGCTGAGGAAGACAGTGCCGGGAGATACCCGTTACTCAGTCCAACTGGCGCACCCACCAAACACGCCGGCCCCGGGCTGCCGGTTCCGTATTTTGCGGTATCCCTGGGTATACCGGAATTATGATAACTGGACCTCATGGAAGCGATTTCTAGAAAATTAGGAGCCGTGGTCAAGCTATGCTGCTGTCCACTATGTTGCGTGGACCCCGACAGCGCGGCTGGATAGCAGTCCGTTGACGTGGTCATTGAGAGATCGTGTGTGGTGAACGCATGATGATGATGATGTTGTCCAGTACTGACCGAACCACCACTGTTGTTGTTGTGAGCGTGGTGATGAGTTGAATTCTGGTGATGTTGCGGATGTTGGTGATGGTGCGATGTTGGAATATTATGAGAATATACCTGGTGATGCCCTCTGTTGGCTCCTCTACTGGACAAGACCCCGACAGATCCACCTGAGTAACTGGACATTTGTTGCGATCCACCCGAACCTAAAGGAAGTTCCCCAGGCGTCGCCAGCTGTGGCGACAACGACGCGTCACCGCTGTAATAAGAAACAGTTCCCGTTTGACCAGTGTCCAGACTCCCGCGGCCGTTGATGTTATGAAATCCATATATATCGGCGTTAGAAGCATACGTGTTGTGGTACCCGTGGTGCGAATCAAGGTTACAAAGCGTGTACTCGGTCTCTGAATTCATCTTGCGTAAATTTGATTCCAATGGACAACTTAATCTGTTTCTCAGCGGCTTTCTCTCCGGTCCAGCTAGTCCGAGCGACACTCACTGACCGCTTCTCGCTGTCAATGAAATCTCCAGAAATTACCTATCCCTGCACTAGACAAATCTAAAATAAATGAACTGAAAATTATAAAGGAGGGATGACACCATTGCAAAAACGGGCGGAGATCACGTGACGATAGCGACCAATCACAGCGTGAATAATGCGAGGGAGGAGACAAGAACCAGATTGATGGAGGCGAGACCGCTCCTAGAAAGAACATCGAGGAGAAACCGAGTGGGGGAAACCCTCGCACAGATCCACCAACCGCCCTGGAAAGATCTATTTTATGTGCTGGCGCAATTGTAGGCTTGTAAGCTCGCTCACGCAATTTTAGAATAATTTATGACTGGATGTGTGATCCGTTATTTCCTCGCCTTCGCTAGATACGTGAGCGCATCTAATCGACCGGAGGTAAGTTGTGTTTGCTTTCATTTGGGCACCGATATGTTCGCATCTACAGTTTGTTGTCTGTTGTCCTAGGTGTATCACAAACGATATACCACAAATCCAGCTGGTGAAGTTTTCACCAGTGTTATTGTCACCATTTAAAGATAATACTAATACTAGGACCCCCCCCCCAACCCCCCTAAAAAAAGTTTTTATCATCATCATTATCATCGTCATGGACAGCGCCGATAAGTGAGGCTGTTTAAAAGTTAGCCAGATCGTGATATCGTTAGAGTCGGATCAGCTCTGTGATCTTGTCTTGATTACACCGTATTTATTTCTTTGTCTTAACGTTAATATTTCCAAAGATAGTAATAGTAGTAGCAGTAGTATTAGTAGTAGTGGAAGCAGTGGTGGTGGTGGTAGTAACAGAAGTAGTAGTTGTAGTAGTGGTACACAGGCGCCAGCACCTAGAGGGTTACATTCAATGAGCCGCAACCCCCTCCCAACCAAATATTTAAGGAGAATTTAGCCTCCTCACTGGCCCTCCCTTAGTTTGGAAGATTGAGTAAGGGGAATTATGTAGATACATTTTCTTTCATGCATTTGTTTATAGATTTAATATTAATTCAAGTATATTATTATATCGATTGGCCATTAAACATAATAATAAAAATAATAATAATAATAATAATAAAAATAATAACAATAATAATGGTGTGCTAAATGGCATATATATATATATATATATATATATATATATATATATATATATATATATACTTGAAACCCTGTCCCACTTGCTTAAGTGTGTAGTATATACAACGCTAGACCGATAACTTAAGGATCACTTAGCCATCGGGTGATGACGTCGTGAACATCATGCCGCCACCTTTACTTCTAAGGACTTTACCAAGTAACCGTTTTTTGCTGGAAATCCCAACATTTTGTAGAACTACAATAAAATCTGACACGCTGCAGGCGCTAACTCGCGATTTTCGACCCCGTCTTTTTATATATCTATATTACACATACATAGTCGGCTCTGTGGCTAAGTTGATGCGAACGCTTTATAATGCAGGGGTGCCGGATTCGATCCCAGCTGCGGGCCATGAGCCTTGCGTTGGTTTCGACAGTGGTATCAGCGGGCCGACCGTTAAAAAACTATGGGAAACTACTGGACGTAAATTTGCCTAGAGAAACAGCACAACAGCCAGGGGCTGCTGGGGGTGGTTCTGCAACGTCCTGTAAAGGATACACACATTATTATACATACATACACACCAGACACACACACACACAGGTTAGTTAGTTAGTTAGTTAGTTAGTTAGTTAGTTAGTTAGTTAGTTAGTTAGTTAGTTAGTTAGTTAGTTAGTTATTTAGTTAGCTAGTTAGTTAGTTAGTTAGGTTATCATCATTGCATTCCGGCCATGTCCATAGGTGCTCAGATTCTCCCCTCAGTATGAACTCCAACGTCCGATGGCTAATAGTACCAGTTCTTTGTTGATTAACCAGTTTTCTGGTGTGCGTCTCGTTTTTTGCTATGCCGATCTTAATTCCCAAGTCTGCCATTCTGGCGAGTGATGCAGATTCACTGCCACTAAAGTCCTCTATCCTTCCCATTTCTCTGAGGGTAATAATAATATCAGCATGATCCATAGGTTGACCGTCGGTAGTGATAGCGGATCCAGCCAACCTATCAGCTCTTTCATTCCTATCGACATAGAAAGATTTTCAAGCCACCTAGGACGTTTTTCACACCACCTAGGACGTTTTTCACACCACCTAGGACGTTTTTCACACCACCTAGGACGTTTTTCACACCACCTAGGACGTTTTTCAAATCAAACTGGACGATTTGCAAATCAAATAGAACACTTTCCAAAACAAACTAGACACGGTACTGAGGGCTTTAAAAATCGTCTAGTTTGATTTGAGTAACGTCTTCAGTGGTTTAAATATCTTCATCTTTGATTGGACGCTATATATATATATATATGTACCCATGTATATACAGACATATATATATATATATATATATATATATATATATATATATATATATATATACACACACACACATATATATAAATATATATATATATATATATATATATATATATATGTATATATATATACAAACACACACACACATATATATACATACATTTAAATATATCGATACATATATACATACATGCATGTACACATGTATATTCACTCACACATAAATTAATATATACATATATATATGTATATATGCGGCTTGGGCCCTTCTGCCCCCTAGAAAATGTTTAGGTGAGCTAAATCACGCCCACCCCCCCCCCCATGTTTTCCTTGTGTCGTTCCATCTCTTTGTGATTTTTGTGATTACCGATACACCTGTCCGGAGTACATGTGATGATAATCCTAACTTATCCTCAATCCCAACCAATCATTACTTGAAGAAATCAATTTAAAAAAAAAAAAAAATTTGCTGTGTGTTATTATCGCCTGCATGCTTGTGGCTGCAGTGGCACAGCCAACAGATGTTACCTTGAGAGACGGGTGACTTGGGTTTAATCCCAGCACCAGTACTTTTCTGACGCTGACCTGATCTGTGATTCCGTTTACTGACCGTGTGAAATGTAGAAAACATTATCATCTGATTTTTTTTAAGTGTTATATATTATATATAAAGCAAAGATGTCCAGAAAGCACCTAGACTTTCCATCTGCTTTGTAAACGAATCCTTTCTATATGCTTTGTAAACGAATCCTTTCTATATGCTTTGTAAACGAATCCTTTCTATATGCTTTGTAAACGAATCCTTTCCATATGCTTTGTAAACGAATCCTTTCTATATGCTTTGTAAACGAATCCTTTCTATATGCTTTGTAAACGAATCCTTTCAATATGCTTTGTAAACGAATCCTTTCTATATCCTTTGTAAACGAATCCTTTCTATATGCTTTGTAAACGAATCCTTTCTATATGCCCTGTAAACGAATCCTTTCAATATGCTTTGTAAACGAATCCTTTCTATATGCTTTGTAAACGAATCCTTTCTATATGCTTTGTAAACGAATCCTTTCTATATGCCCTGTAAACGAATCCTTTCTATATGCTTTGTAAACGAATCCTTTCTATATGCTTTGTAAACGAATCCTTTCTATATGCTTTGTAAACGAATCCTTTCCATTTGCCTTGTAAACTAATCCTTTCTATATGCTTTGTAAACGAATCCTCTCCGACCCTCACTAACGACCTAGATAGGCATCATCTACTTAAGTACAAGCCTGTGGTTGATTGGTGTTTTATTATCGTTATGTACCTAATTCTCTTAATGTAGTGACATCATAGTGTGTGTTGTGTTGTCTTTGATTATTGATGAACACTAATCGCCGCAACGGCCTTTGTTTGTTTACTGTAATTGATTTTGTAAAGCTGACAAAAAAACTATTTTTTTCCCTTACACTTTTTCTTCTCTTACCTATAATTCACTACCTTTAAAACTAAAAACAAAAATAAATCCTGTGTAGAAAAGTACTCCACCTTTTTGTCCCTACGTACCACCAAAAACAAGTTTGGGTTTAGCAGGCAGATCAACATCAAGGCACACGGGGTAACCCATAAAATGCTCCCTTCTACTTCTGACTCAACCATGTGTCCAAAGAATCTCAGCGCAGTGCACGAACCCTATAGCAGAGGCGAGGATCCTGAAATACTTTGGGTAGATTTTTAACTCCAAATGTTGCCCTGGCAGCGCCGTTAGGCCACTCTTTTCGATTTCCAAAAGGGGTATGATCTTACTATCAGAGACTATGGGGACATAATAGAAGTCCACGTGAAAAAATCCCATCCTTCACCTGGGCTTGAGCCCGAGACCTGCAGCACTCAAGGCGGACGCCTACCTCAAAACCACTCAGCCCCACCCCACCCCCAAAAACAGGAGAAACAGGATCGCGGCCCACCTGAGAGCTAACCAGAGGGCAAAACACAAATGTGGATTACAAAGTATTTGTTTCTATTGTTACAATTTACTTGTTACAGGACTTTCACCGCGGCTTTGGTAAGGAAGCGCTGCATCGGTTCTGTTACTCCACCCCCAATCCTCGCCCCGAATAATGTCACAAAATTATAATTTGTCTTTCAATTTTAAGTCTCAAGTGTTAATACTACAGATTGCAATCATAAGGGGGGGGGGGGGACGCGATTACCTACCCTGACCCTTAAAGCAGTGGTCTTCAGTTTCAGGTCGCATCCCCCCCCCCCCCCCCAGCCTCTTTTTGAGTGTTTAGCAAGACCCCCATCCTCTTGACTTATTGACATGGGTCCAGGAACCCGCTCGAGAGTAGTCAAAGTCGGTTCTGACAAAATTCGTCTCGAAACGGATTCGAACCTTCGGGTCTGAAGGCGAGCGTCTAGTCACTATGCTAGGGCAGCTTGCGTTTTTAAACTAGCAAAACACATATTTAAAAAAATACTTATTGGAAAACCCTGAAACAAGCAAACAATAAGCAGATAAAAGTATGGGCATGGAAATAACAT